TCAGAAACACATTTTTTTCCTTCCTGCTACATATTTATTGAACACCGACTATGTGTCAGGAGGGCCTGTGCAAATGGATGGAACACAAAGACAAACAAAGCGGGTTTGGTCCTTGTCCCTATAGACCATGCAACCCTGCTCCAGGGTTCCAGCATTCACCTTGACACGGCTTGGTCTTGGCATGCGTTGCTCTGGTTGCATCTGGCAGACATGCCACATGTAGCATCACAGTGGGCTCTGGGAGCAGACCCACCGCCCATGCACAGCGTGTCAACACAAAGGCACATACACACTCACACGCGCATTCACTCCCTGCTAATTCTCCCCTTTGATTGGGGCCTCTAGTCTGTCATCACCAGTCAGTGTTGACAAAGCAAAAGAAAAAATAAAGAGAAAGAAAGAAATCCACCCTGTCACTTGGACTCCCACCCCCACCTCAGCCTTGGCAGCCCCCACCCCGCCCCCGCCTTTGTATTATGGGTTTATGTCAAGGTATGTTGGATTCTAAATTAAATGTCAGCCCACTGTACATTTCTGGCTCCAGCCGCAGAAAATGAGGAGCTGGCGTTGGAGACCATCCAGTTGTTCAGCTCCCCGTGCCTAACCGTGAGGGGTGACAAGCCCATTGAATCACTGCACAGTAGCTTTCCATGGCACGGGAAGCCAAGATAAATTTATTTTTAATGATAAATGTGACTGTCAGAGTTAAGTTGAAACAGTTTTACGGTGAGAGCTGAGTGCCCTTGGCAGTGGGGTGTAGAGGCTGGGTGAACAAGGGCCGGAGGTCCTGACCTCCTAGCCAGCCAGTCCCCCAGGACCCAAGAGACAAGCCCACTCAACATTCAAGTCACGTTTGCTGAGCCCCCACTGCACATCAGTTCAGCAGTGCTTGCTGGGTCTCTCGGGCTTGGCAGACTAAGAGGCTTTGAGGCATTTGGGAAAGAGAAATGGGTTCTGGATGTGCACAGACCTGGGTTCAAATTCTGACCTCACTGATTGGTGTATGATCTTGGGCAAGTTACTTAACCTCTCTGAACTTCAGTTGTCTCATCTGTAAAATGGGACATTCATAACACCCATAGATTTTTGGTGAGTTTTATGTGAAATAAAATGGTGTCGGTACCCAGAACATGGGAAATGTTTACTGAATGGTAGCTATTAATTGTATCATAAACCACTATGACCCAAGTTACGTACCTTACATTTTGAATCAGTGTCCCCATCCAAAATGGGAATAACAACAGCTCCCACTTACTAGGGTCACTGGAGGATGAGGTGTGCCTAGAACAGGGCTGAATGCAAGTGTGAAGGTCAACAAATAGCTGGTCAAGTGGCCAGCACCCTGAATGTTGTCACCCAGCATCTCCAGCTGTTCTTTTCTTGCGTCTTTCCTTGGTGCTCTTCATTTCAATCCCTCAAATGTTAGCACACCTCACTGCCTGCTCTATGCTCTCTCCCTGCTAAGGCCAGTGCCCTGAGCCAGGCTCAGGACCCCAGGAGCCATGTTTGTATCACATCCTGCCCCCTCCCCCCACACTGGGCCTGGATGGGCACTTGACAAGGGCAGCCAACTCTGGTCAGCCAGTGACCTAGGGCAAAATGATGAGTGGGATGGATCACAGCCCTTCTCTTTGGAATTTAAACTAAAAATCCTAGCTAAGAGTTGCCTGTTGATGGAGCCATCAGGTCTTGGTGGTCATGAACAGGCAAGTTAAGTGGGAACAGAATCTGCAAGCTAGAGAGAGGAGGTGAGCAGGCAAGAACCAGGGGCAGTTTCAGGTCCAATTCCATGCAGCCTAAGGGTCCTGGGTTCCAACTTCCCAGAGGTCTTGGCTGGTCCCTGAATTGATCGTCCTTGCTTGCCTTAGCTGGACAGTCCTGACCCTGCCCTGGGGAAACTGACGAGCGCATCTGGGTTTATCCCTGGTGCTCTGCAGCCACCAGCCTTTTTGAAGGCAAATCAGAGGTGGAGGACTATGCACTCTGTGGACCAGCAACATCTTCTCTCACACAGATCTCAGGGTGGAGGGTAGAAACGGCACTCCCTCCTGGGATGTACTTCCATCTCACTTCCTCTCCACTACGCCCTCTAGGGTCCCATGAACAGTGGGCAGCCTTCTGCTTCTGGAAACAATGTCCCAGGTGTATCAGGTGAGTATAAATCACTATATTTACACAAATAGTGTAAATCACTGAGCAAATGCCAGAGCCGCATCAGTGCTGATCCTTTTCTCGGGTTACTGAGCAGAGGCATCACCATAAAGGAGGTGACAGGCTGAGAGCATCTCCCTCCTGAATATTCACTGCACCCCTACTGCCTACAGGAAAGTTGAGGAACCTTTAGCTGAGCAGGTGAAATGATTGGACGGCAAACAGTCCCAGGAGGAGCCGCTAGGTGGCTCCAGCTTACCTGTCCATCCTCCCCTCTGCAGACCTGAGAGAAGATCCTCCAGATGGTTCTCCTGTTTGCACCCTGCCTGGCTCTTTGCACGCTATTATCCTCCCTCCGTCTTTGCTTCACAACTCCAGATCTGAAATGCCTTTTTCCCTGTCCATCCACATACTCCCAGCCCTCATGGCCATCTCCTCTGGGATGCCTTCCCTGACCACTCCCGAGTACAGCATACAGGACTTCTGCTAGCGCTTAGTAGTGCCACTTGGGATCCTCAGTTCAGAGTCTCCCACCTAGACTGTCAGCCTCACAAAGAGTGGAGGGCGATTTTCTGCATATGCATAGACATGTCTGGAGTTTACATCCTCTCCCCGGAACTGTAGTCTCACAGCCAAGCGCCTCCTTCTCATACTGGGCATGGGCCTGCCAATCTCACAGCTCACCAGTAAGAGGGAGAAGAGGCTGCCATTCCTTATTCAAGGAGGAAATTGAGTCTCAGGCCAAGGTCACACAGCTTGTTATAGCTGGAAAATCTGAGCTCCTACCTTGCACCGGCAACTGCACTGAGTGGCTTGACCCCTTGTAGAAGCTCAGAAGGGCCCTTCTGAAAAGTGGGCTGTTAGACCTTTTATACATGGGGAAACTGAGGCTCGGAGAGGTGTAGTTACTTGCCCTAGATCACAGAGCCAGGGAAGTGTGCTTTTCACCACACTCCTCTGCCAAAGTGGAAGGGCCCTACAACTCAGGAAGTGGGCGGGGGG